AGTGCTACCACTTTCAGGGTTTAGGGATTAGGGTTGAAAGTTTAGGGTTTAGGGTTCTAAGTTCTAAGTTCTAAACCCTGAACCCTACCACCACCCTTCAACCCGATAGAAGGCCCAGCTCACCATGGGGATGGTCATGTGCTTCTTTACATCCGAGTGGCTGGAGGCTGCTCTCGGCCCAGGCTTCATGAAGCTTGCGGGCAGTTTTTCGTTGAATCACTGCTTTGCTGTTGGGTTAAGGTTAGGGTTTAGGATAGGGGGAGGGTTTAGGCGTTTGGAGATTTTTTGGGTGATTTGGGTCTTCTTTTCCGAGTTTTGGTACGCGAGACGATAACTACTGTAGGGATCCTTTTTGCTTCTTTCCTTCCACGGCCGGGACGAAGGAAAGGTCTCTGTGAGACGTCGAATCTGAAGCCCCTGACTTTGCTCTGGCAGCCTGTTCCCCTAGAGTGCTGATCTCCGTGCATACTATGGGCCCATGGTTTCAAACTTATTCTACAATTAGAAGCTTCAATGATTCGGAAGAGGGCTCCCTTCAAAGGTTCCTTGCAACGGACAGTAGAAGAGTTCTAGTGTGAAGGGGCCCGTAGTGGTTTTCAACAGGGTTTTGCGGTAGACTATAGAGTATACCTAGTTAGCCCAGCATAGAGCCTTCTTACTACAGTATACCTGGCTAGCCCAGCATAGAGCCTTCCTACTACAGTATCCTTGCTTTCATAACCCCCGCGATTTCTGAAGCCCAGACGTAGCTTTGGGCTCTTTTTTCAATGGCCCGGCCACTGATGAAATCACTTGCCGAGCGATGGCAGCTTGGAGATGACCGGCTAAGCCGCCATGAATCAGGATCTGCCCTTAAGTAGGGTTCTGGGTTTAGGGTTTAGGGGTTATATTTAGGTAACTATACTTATAACCCCAATTAACCCAAACCCTGGACCCAAAACTCTACACCCCAAACGCTTAAGGCATCACCAGGGTTCCCGGTTTCGGATCTAGCGCCGGCACGTCGAACGTCTCGGCAAAAGGACCCGAAGCCAGTTTTGGAAGGACAAGTCCATAGTTCCATGTTGAGCCAAGTTCTAAAAGCTATTTGCCGCCTCACGGAAAAAAAGCACGCCTCGGAGGCTGAGTTGTAGTCGCCGGGGGGAGGCTTAGGGCATAGGGTGATCAAGATAATGATGAAAGTAGTGATAAGCAGAACAGACAGTAAGAGTAGTAAGGTTGAGGTAGGGCAGAGAGAAGACTAGTCATAACCATAACCAAAATAGTCGAGCACAACGCTGGCCGCAAAAATAACAGAAACGGCGAAGCCAAGAAGCAAACACAATACATTCGAATGCAGAAGAGGTCTGGGCGATAAGGGTGAACACAATGCGCGCACTGCTAACCGCAGCGAGCATCAACACATGCGTGGCTGTCCCTGAGGCCGCTACGGTACACGCTTATCGTTAAACCCTGAATCCTAACGTCTAAAGCCTAAACCGTCGAAACCCCACAGATCCCCACATGGGAGCCCAAAACCTCAAGGTCCAAAGCTAAAATTCTCCTCTTCTTGAACCTGTTTGAAGCCTTCCTGGCAGCATTTATAGGCCACCCCGTGCAACCCAGAACCATTTTTTGAACCCATCAAAGAGCCTGGAACCCTAAACCCCCATCCCGAGAACCCTATCAAGCAGGCTTCCTGGCCAGGCCGAGCTTCGAGAGCAGAGGTCTCAGAGTCTGTCGGATTGCAACTTATCCGGGCCCTTTGAGGGCTTTGGGGCTTGGAGGTTTTTGGAGCTTCGGGCATTTGGGGGTTTAGGGGCTACTGAGGGTCTACAGGCCACTTCATCGTGGGGGTTTAAGGTTTAGGATTTGGGTTTAGGGTTTTAGGGTTTAGGGTTCAGGATTTGGGCTATGGGAGTTTATGGCTTGGGGCTTAGTAAGGTGTCGGATTATTGTTTCCAACACTCCTTGCTTACTGTCAGAGTCGGGTGGGGTTTGGGAACCAGCCTTTCGCTTGCTGCTTCTAGCAGGCGTGTGTTAGCATCCGGAGGGTGCAAAGAAACTCGGGACTACCTGCACTGTAGCTGCCCCAACATACATCTTTTGGCTTCGGTTTTCGGAGTTATTATTGGATTGTTTGTGCCTGATTGTTTCTATTGAGGTCTGGCAAAAGAGCTCTTGCCGGTGTCAAGCCGAGTGCGGGCGTTCGCTTACCCACCACGTCTCACATTTCTCTGTCAGAGCAGCTCTGACTCTGACGGCTTCTGTGTCGCCGAGCCTTCTGGGCCAGCTCAGCTCCAGTGCAAGTTCTCTAGGCCCAGCGTGCTCGCTCTCGCGGCCGGCATGGCGCGCCGATTTGGGAAATCAAGAAGGATGCATACAGTTTGACAGTGGCAGTCTGGGGTGTGGTGCATGGCGAACTGGCTGTTGAGACGGTGATTGACATGCTGCGGAGCCTTCGCGAGAGGCATGGCATGAGCTGCTTCCGGGATCCTAAACCATATATTGGCAAAGATCGACGAAGGTCTCACATGCAAAAGACTTGGGACATTGTCAAAGACCTCACGACACCCGAAGCGATAAGAGTGAAGGATGCCCTCCGTCGCAACGGCCTCTGCCCTGGGCAGGATCCCGAGGAGGACCGGCAAGCCATGCTGTTCAGACACTGGATCATGGTAGTCCGGTGGTGTTGTCTTTAGTTGCAGGACGTGTGCCATCTCTGATTTCGTCCAAACCCGAGTCAATTCTAGTTATGCCCCTGAAAGCAGGTTAAAGTGATGGATCTGCGCAGCTTCGATCGTGCTTCATTGCCAAATCAGCAGAACTGGCGCCAAACTGTGGATATTTTGCTCGAGCTGCAAAAGAGCGAAAGGATGCAGCAGTGCCTATCGGAGGACCATGTCGAGTTCACGCGGAGAATCTTGGCGTGCATGGCGCAACAACAGATGACGCACCACCTCCCTGACCATTGGACAGCTCGAGAAGTAGTTCCATTTCTTCACAAAGTGTCTCAGCTCTTGGCGGTCGTGGCGGACGAAGAGCTCGGGGGCCCGTGGACCCGATTATTCTGGGAAGCCGGGGAATTGATCGCTGGGGAAGGGCTGGGGAATAGCACAAGCCCAAGAGAAAGGGACATCGGCAAGACCATGAGCATCTGCGCTGACGCATTCGGAAAGATGGACTTTTCATGGTGGCATGGGCCACTGCTCTGGGAGTTCTCGCAACATCTCGAGGAGAATCACCTGGCAACCATGAAGCCCCTCGAGTTGGTCGTCTTGCATTGGCTCGCGCAGGCCTTCGAGGGCAAGGGCAGCGAGAAGATTGGATCCAATGGCGGCAAGAAGTTGGACTGCGAATTTCGACAAAGCTGTCAGACAAGCTGCCTGAGCTTATGGATCTTCAGCAAGCAGAATTCCGCCCAAAATTCTTGGGGTACTTGGGCCAGTCTCTGAGCAAAGTTGTCTTTGCATGCGGAGAGGTTCAGATCTTCCCAGACGAGCTCCTGGAGACATGCTTGGATTGCGCACGGCGCCTGGCGGAGATGAGTCGGGAGCTGCCGTTCGACAGGCAGTTCGACAGGCTGATCATGAGCCCGCTGAGCAGGCAGAGGGGGCTCCCCGAAGAGGTTGTTCAAGTGTTGGCATCTTTCCATTTCTCTGAGTTGTACGTAGCGGTGAAGGCTCAACCAAGCCAAAGCCGCAAGAACACTTTGGACAACCTGAAGAACCACAGAAATGTTCTCGCGCCTGCAGCAGGGCTGCTGGTCAAGGCGCTTGATTTTGGGATGGAGGACCGTCACCAGCGGATATGCAACATCCAGTGCAGACTGGTGGAGATGAGCATGACGGCCATGATGCACCTCGACATGAAGACGGTCACGATCTTGTTGGCATCCATGAGGAAAGTCACCAAAAGATACCTCACACGTCGTGATGCACCCTTCGAGCAGTTCGTCCAGTTCGTCCGGTCGGCATTCCAGAGGGCTAGCACGCTCGCAAGGAACTGCTCCGAAAACGACCAGGAAAACTTCCAGAAAGAGCTCAGAAATTACTTGCGGTTGCGTGACGAGTGGCAGGCCGGGCTTTGGCTTCCCCCCCAATCCGCAGTGAGCCCTAGCCTAAACCCTAAACTCTATGATTTGAACTTCAGCCCAAATCAAAACCCGTTTGTGTTGTTTGGTGTGCAGGTCACTCTGGGTGTGCAGCTGAGTATCGTGGACATGAGCCATCTCGACATCGACGCGGTCACAGGGTTGTTGGAGTCCGTCAGGAAAGTCGCCGCAAGGGACTCCACACCTCCTGATGCAACGCTCGTCCAGTCGGCATTCTGGAGGGTTCCCGCTCTGGCAAGGAGCTGCTCCGTGGAGCAGCGGAGCAACTTGGAGCAGGAGCTCACAGCCTACTTGCGGGTACCCGAGCAATACGACATGTCCGTGGAGTTGCGTGAGGAGTTGGAGGCATGGCTTGGGGCTCCGGGAAAGGCATTGAAGCATCCAGACCCGAAAACCCTAAACTCTAAGCCTCAAAGACCTCGAGCCCATGTGCGGTGTGCACCGCGAAGGATGCCTTGCAGCAGCTGCAGCGCTGAGCTACGATCTCCCGAGAAGGGCCGTGAGCGGGATATTTGGGAGCGTGAAACGAGCGAGGAGCTTAACGTTTGGAGCCCGAGCTCGCAAAAATCTGCACGTTTCGACGGCCCGGTCTGACTCAGTGCGGGCCAAGAAAAGCATGCCATTTAGGCAAGAATTCGTTTAGTTTTCCATGATTCAATGCTCAGAGAGGGCCGCCGAGCAACCGTTTCCGACGCCCCAAAGCTTTCCGAGCACCTTGAGGTTGAGTCGATGGGTGGAAGGCAGGTGTTCAAGGTGTTCGTTACGGAGGGCACTGCATTGTTGGGGGCAAGCGAAGTCGCAAATCATAAACCCCGAGACCTTAAATGGGGACGCTGAAAGAACAGCTGCTCGGTGGCCCACTCCCGCAACGTCTGTGCGCAGCTTCCAACTGGTGACGCTTTAGCGCATGAAGGGTCTAAATATGTGATGCTAACCAGCTCACCGTTTCGCCAGTCGCCTCCAGATCCGGACCTTGCATAGCGTGCCATCTTGGAAAGGCAAGGGTGCACACTCCTCTGTCGCGATGCCAGATCGAGTCCCGGTAGCCAAAGGCCATGGACAGTGGCCGGCTATGGCGCCTCACCCCAATAGGCCAGGAAAGCAAGGACATATCAGCAAGTATAGCTAGCAGATACTTGGACAGCCGTGTGCCCAAACCGTCGGAGTTGTGTATGGTGTGACGCATAAGGCTGGCTTGCAGCAGCTGTAGCGCTGAGATCTCTCGAAGTGGAATGTCCCGCGAGAGAAGTCATGCAGCTTCTGAGGGCCGGGACAGACTCAGAAGCCGAAGAGAGCATGGCATGTAGGATTTTTGGCAGTTGTTCTTTTAAGTCTTCAGGATTCAATGCTCAGAGGGCCACCGAGCAACTGTTTCAGATTTGGCCCGAAAGCTTTCCAAGCACCTTGAGGTTGCGTCGACGAGTGTCTTTGTGGAAGGCAGGTGTTGAAGGTGCTCGGTGTCATTCTGTTACGGAGGGCACTGCATTTTTTTGGGGCAAGCGAAGTCGCAAATCATAACCCCGAGACCTTAAATGCGGACGCTGAAAGAACAGCTGCTCGGTGGCCCACTCCCGCAAAGTCTGTGCGCAGCTTCCAACTAGAAGCAAGCACCACTACGTTGGACATCAGAACCAAGCATACTTAGCAGATTCTACGACAGCTGTCGGAGCCGTGTGTGGTGTGATGCATATAGCTGGCTTGCTGCAGTTACACCTCTGAGCTGAACTCTCCCGACAAGGAGAGAAGCCCATTGGATAAGAGCTATAAGAGCAGCTTTCGACGGCCCGCACACACTCAGTAAGTGCCGGATAATTTTGGTGAGTGGTCCGCGCATTCGTTCCATGCCAGGTTAGATGCAAAGCCCTCCGAACACCTTGAGGTTGAGTCGATGAATGTTTTTTCCGGAAAGCGGATGTTGAAGGTGTTCGCTATCATTGCGTTGTACGGGCCCTGCGCTTTTGGCAGTGCTTCACCTGCTCGGGTGGCCTGGCACCAGAAGTCGTTAGCAGCCAGCATGCGCCATGTCAAACCGTCCTAGTAGACCTTAGATGTAGCGGTTGAAAGTCCCGGACAGTCTGTGCGAAGCTGCTGACATTGCCGTAATTCGCGGACTGACGGAGGTAGTTCTGTCGGGTGCCTTGTGTTTTGAATGGATGTGATGTGAACCACCGCGCTGTTTCGCGACCCACCTCCAGCAGCATTTTAATCTTGCATGCGATCCTGTGAACGGGTCGATGCATGGTCTCCATCTCTCCTCTGTTGCGATGCCTTCTTGAGGAATGTACAGTCGCCGGACGTCGCGGCCGCAGAGTTCCGCTAAAATCGCTTCCCGAGCTGGCACTCCGAACTTCTCGCTAATCAAAGGACTGGGGCACCCGACATGTCGCAGTGAAAAGCAAGGACCATTGCGTTAGATATCCGGAGCAAGCATCCTTAAGAGATACTTGTACATGTCGTTTATTCTTGGCATTGCTCCTCCAAGCCAGCCGGAGATCAAGGAGGGGATGCAGGGATGCGTCGACTCAGTCCGAGCCCCAGCCTCAGCCTCAGCGAGGGCTGCCACACAGATTCTCCTTCTTCTTAGCATTCTTGTGATTCTTGTTGTACATGCTGTTGCTTTTAGTAAAGGCCAACAGGCCCCGGTAGCTTTGGTCACCATGGAGCCATTCGCGCGGAGTAGGTTCGCGGATGTTGCGTTTTGTCGGTACTTGGACGCAGCCGGGGCGGCAGTGATCTGAGGTAGGACTCAAACCCCAAAGCCTAAACCGGGAAAGGCCGGCGAGAATGAAGCCGAGTGCCTGTCAACGCCGACTTCGTTGCGACGTCGTCTGGGCCCCAGCTCGATTTTTCAGCACTGCCTCCAGAGGGGTTTAGGGTTGAGGGTTAGTATCTGGCAGTAGTATCGGTCTAAACCCAACTTGTAATCCTAGTACAGTAGTATAGTAGCAATCGGCCTAAACATTCAATTTGCAATCGTGTGGACCGGCGGCCGTTGTTCTTGACCCGCTTTGTCTACGAGGCGAGCATAGCTTCTTTGCGTCGTCTTGACCTCGTTTGAGCACTAAAATGATAAAGCAGAGTTGATCGCATGTGACGCAATCAAAGCTGGATGCTAGTCAATTCAGCAGCGTTCCGAGCTTCCCACGCAGGTACCGTCCATGTCATGTAAGCGGCCGAACCCCGAGCCTACGAAAAACTGAGCTGTCTTTGTCCGATGAGTGCAGATGAACACTTCGGTTGGCATTGTGCATGCAGTGGCTGCCGAATGAGTTGAAATGCCCGGGCACAAGTCCTTACCCGGCTCCTTTCAAACACCTCTTGGTCATCTCCCACGTTCGAATCTTGCCAAGAGGCTGCGAGTAGTGGCAGGTAGTACGTTGCACTAGCAGACATTGGTGTGTGCCGGGCAGGTTCTCGATTCTTCCCGATTGCGGCATACAGTGAGATCCTGCTGGCAGACCCTGCCAGCATCGAGCGTAGTTCGGAAAGTCAAGTAGATCTATGTGGAGTAGCCTGGCGACTCTTCCTGGACCTCCTGGTCTATCGCCTAGTGAACTGCAGGGTCTATGCAGTTTCGCTTTGCAAGGCTTTGGCAAAAGAGTTGCAAGCCTTGACGCGTGATCGGTTTCTATGCTACTACGTTGCTCTTGCCGTCTGCAGCTTGTTCCTGGGCTACTACGTGGCCCTTGCCCTTTGTTACTTGTGTTGTTTGTTGATGTTTGTTGGCGCATCAAACAATTCAGGCAATCAAGGCTGAGCCATGCATGCTTGATGCAAGACCCGACGCCCCCAAAGTCGAAGTTAACAAGTCTCTCCACGCAATGCTTGGAAATGTGCGCCGGGTCGGAAGATGCAAGGCTGAGCGTACGGCCTTAAAAATACACAAGTTGGAGTATCTGGCATGTTATGTATCCCTATAGTTTGCTGGTAGGGTTTTTGCATCTCTGTCGCCAAGAAATTGGAAAGCTGTCTAACGAGCAGTACGTACAGTTGCCACTTCTTCCTAGACTTGCTGTCAGAGGAGTGTCCGGAGAATATGAGGGCACGCAGCAGGTCCGTGGCAGAAAAAGTGGTTCTGTGCCGGTGCAGCGACGTGCGATGGATTGGTCGTTGTTGCTATTGTTCTTTGTGTTTATATTTGTTGTTGGTGTTGTTTCTGCTGTTATTGTTGTTGCTGTTGCTGCTGCTGCTGCTGCTGTTGTTGCTGTTGCTGTTGCTGTTGCTGTTGCTGTTGCTGTTGCTGTTGCTCTTGCTCTTGCTCTTGCTCTTGCTCTTGCTCTTGCTCTTGCTCTTGCTCTTGCTCTTGCTGTTGCTGTTGCTGTTGCTGTTGCTGTTGCTGTTGCTGTTGCTGTTGCTGTTGCTGTTGCTGTTG